GGACCTGTCACCAACGCGGCGGGGGCCTGGCTGTCTGCTAGCCCTAAATAAACTGGCCGGGGATGTAGCTCTTTCAAAGGGCTCGTTAGGGTGATCGGGCCTCTCACAGTCCAGTGTGGCCCTCACCTTCTCCAAATAGCACCGAGATTTTCCTGCAGAATTACCCTCTTAATATCCCAGTTCTGTTACTGGGAACTTCTGACACTTGGCAGGGTATCCGGGAGGGACAGGATTCCTGTTCCCTTGATGGAGCTTTCAAAATCTTGGACATCCTAGAAAAAAAGCATTAATACGTGATCTGTTAGAAATTCATCAACACAGGGGACTACGATTACCTGGGAAATGTCAATGAAGAATTTCCGGAAAGCCAGTGGACAGCGTTATGTTGGTTTATTATCTTTCTGTTAGAGTCTCAGCAGCCTTGTCCTACCTCTGTCCGTACCAGGTCACCAGTAGGTTGCCTCATGCATCAATTCACTTTTAAGGTGGTGTTTCTAAAAGCCAACGCTCTCACACAATGGTAAATGCTCACGACCCCACCCTCCCTTGGGATATGGTGGTACCATGGCTGTATCAGCTCTTGGAGTTTCACCAGAGTCTATGAACTGACTTACGGTTTCTCCCTCCTCCCCCAGACAAGGAGAGAAAAAGGAACGCTCTTCAGATGTGTCCCAAGTGCTGGTTTGTCTCTAGGAAAGGAGCAAACCCTCTCCTTGATGGTCTTCTGTCTCGTCGCACTGAGGTGAGATTAGAAGGGGCATCAAAGCACCTTTTTCCTTTTGTGAGGTTTGTCTTTAGGCAGCTACACTGGTGTTATTACAGAAAGATGCAGCTTTATTCCAGCCGATACCACGGCAAAACTAATAACCATTTTACAAGAGAATTTTATAGCCCATCCAAAGCCAAACCTTGTTAGCAATTTGCTGCTTTTTTCATGCTGAAGGCCTTTTTGCTTCGACATAACAAGATGACGAACAGATGTTGATGGTCTCTTGGGAAACACTCCCAAGAATGGTACCTCAATTAAACCCCGTTGTATCTACACATTCATAATGGGGACATATGGTCACGTATCTCGAAACACATTTAAAGGTGCCACGTCCTACTGAATGGACATTGATTCATCCGCGTGGACACCACTGCCTTACAGGCATTATGGGGGTCACCGTGACCCTAAGGGGATCTTAGCAAAACCTTTGGCATCAGAGCAGCCTAACCTCACCAATGACTGATGAACACGGCATCCCTTGATGCCATCACTTGGCCTAAACACAGCCTGGTCCAACAAATTGAGGCACCCCAAGCTAGTGCCTTTTGATTGGCTTATTACCCAGTTAACAGAAAACAGAAAAATCCCCCCTCAGATAAATACCACCTTCTGTGTCAGCAGCAAATTGTTATCATTTATGTTTTCCAGAACTTTTGAGACACACAGATATATATATAACTCTTGAGTCCAGGACTCATGGAATTCCTGAGCCATTTTTTCATTAAGAACCACTAATTTGAGACATGATTCCAGCTAATTATCAGTTAATTTGTGATCCTCCAAACAGCAGGGCAGCCTCTGGGAGGCACACGTGCCTTTTCGCCTGCTTCAAAAACGCAGTGATTTCAGCGCACCATGAAGTGATGACCCAGGAGCAGTCCTTGACTGTCGGCTTGGTCAAATTTGGAGAAATTCCCGGGTGGTTTGGAGCAACTGGGATTTCCCTTCCCGCTCTCTGGGGGAAGGCAGTCCCTGTATCGTATCCTGCGGGAGGAGGGCCGGGTTTACCCCCGGGTAGCTGGTATGCGCGGCTGTCGGGGTGGGTGCAGCCGCAGGGCCCAGGCGGTGCCCAGGGCTTGGGCTGTGCTGGTGCTTTGGCCTTCCTGCGGGGACACGGAGAAGCATTTTATTCACTAAAACCTCTGGATTAAACAGATGTCTGCTTTAGTATTTCACCCTCTGTAAATGGATCTGTTTCTACCATTAAGTGGAATCTAATTCATTATTTGAAACACTTCTTATTTTAGTGCTATTTTATTTGATATTCAAATAAATCTGTTGCAGAAATTATTTTTGTGGACATGATGTAGTGCTTAGTTACTGCCAGGGGCTTTTTTTTTTTTCTGTCTTTTTTTTTCCATGCAGAAATGTCTGTATTTGGGACCAGCGAGTGCCTCGCGAGCGGCTTTAACCCCGCCGCTTGACGGACAGGGGCCGCATTACCG